GGGGCGGGACTTTGGGCCTCATTATCTGGGAGATGAACGAGATGAAGATCCAGCTACAAAGAGAGCATTTAAGGAGACAGATCCGAACCAATGCCATAGCAACGGAGCTCTAGCTTCTCACGCATGAACTACTGTTTCTCCTTGAACATACAAATACAGCAGGCACATGCAGGGACCAAGGACGATTCGGAATACTTAACAGACTCGGTCGGGTTCCTAGAAAGAGACCAAGTATGGTCCAGAGAGTCCCGGTAAGGCCGAGGAAGGGAACGAGAGGGAAGGGACTTTAATCTCCTACGTTGCTCGGTTGGTGTCATTGAAACAGCAGCAAGGAGCCCTTTGGGAGAGCTCACCAGCCCCCCTGCTTCTACAGCACCACACTCCTGGGGACCCCAGGCCTGTGTCTAGCTTCTCTTTTACTCGTTTGCTCCTATGAAGAAAACCTACCTGGTATGCTTTCTATTAGATTCCTTCCAATTAAAACTCAAAGTTGTATCTCAATTTCCTTCATTTCTGCCCCCCAAACCCAACCTCACTGCCGTGGAGTCGATGCCGACTTAAACCTATAGGACAGGGTAGAACTGGCCTGAGTTTCCAAGACCGGCACTCTTCCCGGCAATGGAAAGCCCTGCCGTGCCACTGTTGATGCAGGAGCACAGTATTCCTCAGCTCAGCGCTCACATCCCACAGGAAGTCACCTGCCTGGTGACTCAACTGCCCTGATGGGTAACTGAAACACTGTCATCAAGCATCAGGGCTGACAGACAGTTGGACTTCCTGTAGATCAAACTGTAGCTCCTGACGCACAGAAGTCTCTCTGCCTAAAAATCAGAAAGCACACTGAACCAAGTAGCTGTGATCTGACACCCGTGTGCTAAGGCATATAAACAAGTGCTTTTCCATAATTTTTTGAAATGATGGGGTTATTTATTCCCAATCTTCCCCATTACACTCAACTGCCTAACAGCAAGGACTACTGTGTGAGTCTCCTGAGCTTCTCAGCATCTCCTCAATCCAGGTGCTGGGCCAGACAACCACAGCGAATGACAGCCTTGGGTCCTCTCTGAGTGGTAAATCAGGTGTGGGCAGGGACCAGACCAATGTTCTAAAATCACCCATGAAGGGATTCAGTGAATACGTGCTGAGCAAAGATTATAAACTGTTGGAGCCAGGGCTTTATTTTTCAGAAGGCAGTAAAAAGCTTAAGGTGGAGAAGAATTTTGCTTAAGATAACAGACCTTGGCCAGCATCACGAATTTCCACCTCCGGGTGGCACAGGTCCTTGTCCACGGGGGAAGGACAACTGCTGGAAGGCTGGCTCCCATGCTGCTCCAAGACGGCCTCCAGTTCCGCCATTTCCTGCTGCAGCTTGATCAGGTCACCTTGCATAGCGTCCCTCTGCTGCAAACACAAGGAATCGGTCCAGAAGCTTATGTTTTCGGTGAAATTTGCCAGAAAGCAAAAGTATGTCACAGCAATTAATTTTAGGATGCGAATGAAAATCACCTCGTATGGAATTAGGAGTTCTAGCTGAATACCTTTCCATCCAACCATCCTTCAGGTAATCAATGCCCATGACATGGTTTCAGAATGACATTAACGAAGGAGAAAAATCCCCAAACTCTTTCAAATAGACTCATGATAGCCTTTTGGAGCTGATGATTTTCTTAGTTTTTTTTTAAAAATTAAAAGATCATTGGCTCTTAGAACTCTTATAACAACCCATACATCAAGCATATTTGTACATATGTTGCCCATCATTCGTTTCTAGGCATTTACTTTCTATTGAGCCCTTGGTATCAGGTGCCCCACCCCTATTCCATGATTATTTTCTTTTAAAGTTAGGGAGTGGAAGGTACTTAAACTCTTGATATTTAAAAAACGCCAGGATTCTATCACATAAGGAGTCTGATGGCACAATGGTTAAGCAATCATACACCTGCTAACCAAAAGGCTGTAGTTTGAATCTACCAGTCACTCCACAGAAGAAAGATCTGTGACATCTGTTTCTGTAAAGATTTATAGCCTGAGAAACCCTATGGAGGCAATTCTAAGACATAAGAATCCTGACCAAATGGGAGCGAATGCAGGATAGCATTTCAATTTCTGAATAACTGCAGACATACTAGAGAAGGTTGGATAAACCCCTGAAACTATTACCTTGAGATAATCCTTAAACCTTAAACCAATTAATATCCTTTCATGAAACCAATTAATAGTTTAGCTTAATTAGTAAAAATTGTCTGCTTTGAATACTATGCCCTTTTAAGATGTACATATATGGTATCAAAATGAAAAAGGTAACGTGAAAAATTAGACTGGAATCATGGGGGCGCAGTAGGTTGTACAAGTCCAAGAACACAATCAATATCACTAAATTGCGCTCTTAAGTTGTTGGAAAATGAGTATGTGTTGCTGTGTATATTCTAAACACCACCACCACAAAACAAATCATATAAAACATGATTCTGAGCAGCCGATATCAAGGGCTCGAGCAGAAGGCAAATGTTTTGAGAATGATGATGGCAACAAATGTACAAAACACAATGATGGATGGATGGCTTGTGATACAAATGTATGAGCCCCCAATAAAATGATTAAAAACAAACAAACACGATTCTGTTAAAATTTTACATGGTTCCAAAACTTTGTATTATGAGACTCATAAGGACTTTAAGTTATCCCATGTAAAAATGTCTGCCTTTTAAGCTGATGAAATATTGGGAAAAGGCTCCTTCCTAAGGTACATTTGGAATATATGATCAGTAACCTTGCCTAAAGGCTTGTGAGAAAACTTTTTCTGAATTTCTTTTCTTAATTTTTTAAAGTCATTTTATTGGGGGCTTGTACAGCTCTTATCACCATCCATCCGTCCATTGTGTCAAGCAATTTGTACATTTGTTGCCATCATCATTCTCAAAACATTTGCTTTCTACTTGAGCCCTTAATATGAGCTCCTCATTTTCCCCCTCCCTCCCCGCTTCCCCTCCCTCATTTATGAACCTTGATAATTAATAAGTTATTATTAGTTTGTCACCTTTTATTAATTTCTAGGAACTTTTAGTTTCTAACAGAAATCGCACAGAGATAATTCATTAATTTTTCTGCTGTGTTCGTTCAATGACTATTTGTTGGCTATCGGTCTTGGGTCAGGCACTGTTGTCCTAGTACTGGAGACTATATAGTCTTCAGGGTGCCAGACATTGTACCTGGGGCTACTAGAGGCCTGCTAGAGGGAAGGAGCCATCAGAACGAGCCTTCAGAACCCTGCTAAGGGCAGTTACTCTTTCAGTTCAAGAGGGACTCTTCTTATTTAACGGGGCTTCTGAAGGTTATCTATTATGCTATTTTGCTATTTCCTGAAAGAATCTGTTCAGTCTAGGGTTTTTGATAAGCAAATAACTTAGTAAGTCCAGGCTTTACACAGACATTTTTCCTTGAATTTTAGAAGGAACACCTATTGGTTGCATCAAAACTGGGGCAAACAGATTGTCTCACCCTCTCCTGACCCTCGGAAATGGCTTTGCCGTCTACTAAAAACGAGTCATCTCCTTTCTCTTGACACACCGAATGCACTTTCAGGAGATTTTTTAGACTAGAAAATGTATTTCCAGAGTCACAAAGATTTCTACTGCTTCCCAGAGACTGCGTGGCTGTCAATTTCCGCAGCAACGCCATTGCCACCACGTGGTGCTTGTGAGCAGTTACATCACTGATCAAGGGCTTGTCTCCGTGAACTGGGAATGATGCCACACAGAGGCAGGCATCTGCTCAGGGCTTCAGAAGCTGTCTCAGTCACTACTGTCTTGACCATCTAACTTTTACGTGGCTAGAAAGTCAGATAGAGCGTAGCTATATAACGTTCCTTTGGGTTCTTCCAAAGGTAATAGTTTGAAGACCTTGGTAAATTTCCCTGCAGGCAAGTGACCAACTACATTTGAAGACCAAAACCAAATTGGACACCATGTCCTCTTGATTCTAATGATTGTTTCTTGAATTAGCTCTACTTCTCTATTCTATTCCCACTCTGCTCTCTGCTCCACTTTTAATACAGCTACATCACTGCAGAAGTTCTCAGAATGCCTTATGTCTCCTTCTTCTATAAGGCCTTTAGAGGTACACCAGTGCTCAGATAATTGAATACTTTCTGAACACCATGTAACTGTTAGTCACCTTTACCCTCAGGATACAGTAACAATTCCCTAGCAGAGTATTACAAGGGCCTCGCCACACCGTTTTTCGCTCTTATTGCAGCTACATAGGCCAACCAGGTACTTCCTGCGCACTCCGTGCCCTTGTGTCGTTGCATCTCCTCTTTCCATTTGTAGAGACGCTCAGACGCTAAGGCCCAGTTCGACTGTCTCTTTTAGAAGTTCACACCAATAAAATTTCAACTTTTAAGAGCATATGAGCTCTCATTATTTTATTTCACTTTGTGGTATGGTGAATTACAGGCAGGCCACAGGCTGTAAATATCCAACTTATATATGACTTATCGTTACTAACCATTTGAAAACTTATAAACATTTTAATTTTATAAGTTGAAAAATTTAATGTACACACAATGGTTTGTAAAACAAATGGGTACTATTTTTAATGTGCATCAGAATATTATTATTACTGTATTATGCTGTTAATGATGTTTTAGAATATCTTGAAGTGTTTCTTTAATGTTTTTTATGCACAGAAGGGTACACTAAATATTTAAGACTGTTAGATGAAGGTAAACAAGCGGCCATCTAGCCTAGAAGCAACAAAGCCCACATGGAAGAAGCACACCGGCCTGTGCGATTATGAGGTGTTGAAGGTATCAGGTATCAGGTATCATCAGAACAAAAAATCTTACTATAGTGAATGAGGAGGGGAGTGCAGAGTGGAGACCCAAAGCCCATTAGTAGGCCACTGGACATCCCCTTACAGAAGGGTCTCAGGGAGGAGATGAGCCAGTCAGGGTGCGATGTAGCAATGATGAAAAAGACAACTTTCCTTTATTCCTAAATGCTTCCTCCCCCTTCCACTATCATGATCCCAATTCTACCTTGCAAGTTTGGCTAGACCAGAGGATGTACACTGGTACAGATAGGAACTGGAAATACAGGGAATTCAGGGCAGATGATCCCTTCAGGACCAGTGGTGTGAGTGGCGATACTGGGAGGGTAAAGGGAGGGTGGGTTGGAAAGGGGGAACCAATTACAAGGATCTACATGTGACCTCCTCCCTGGGGAACAGACAACAGAAAAGTGGGTGAAGGGAGGCGTCGGATAGGGCAAGATAGGACAAAATACTAATTTATAAACTATTAAGGGCTCAGGAGGGAGGGGGGAGCGGGGAGGGAGGGGAAAAATGAGGACCTAATGCCAGGGGCTTAAGTGGAGAGGAAATGTTTTGAGAATGATGAGGGCAATGAATGTACAAATGCGCTTTACACAATTGATGTGTGTATGGATTGTGAGAAGAGTTGTATGAGCCCCTAATAAAATGATTAAAAAAATAAAATAAAATAAATTCAGTATTTGTTGCCCAATAGTAGGTGTGGCGTGCTCGCAAGAACCAGAAGGCAGGGGGGTTCCACGTTAGAGCTATTCATCTAACTTGAAGACAAGGCTCTACACATCATCATGAGACCCTTAGTTTTAAAGCGCACGTTAAGCAAACTTAAGAATGCAGGATTCATATTACTGACAGCAACAGACATCACACACAAACCCAACACCCTTTTTACCTGTGTGGTTAGTATGTCACTCTGCGAGGACAGTCCCGATCCCACTTCAGAGAGGGTGGACTCACTCTCGTACCCAGATGCTGCTTCACCTGGAAGGACAATCCAAAGCAGTTTCAGATGTAATGACAGACCATACACACTGCTGCGTGCGTGCTGAGCCTCTCTCTTCCTATTGGCAGGAGGTCATATCCAGTTCTCGATCTGGGACAGCTAGATTTCCTCTTCGAAATCTTAACAGTGAAAACCAGAAGCAAGTCCAACAATTAGGGCATCACATTTCATTCAGGGAAGACCCTGGAGCTAGGGGCAAGACTTTTGACTTTTAAGGGAAACTACCTTAGGAGAAACATGTTTTAAAGATCCAGAAGCAGTTACTTTAACTATACTTGAAAACGCATATAAAAATGTGTTCCCTCCATCTGCCCATGCCCCCAGAAGAATTTATTCCAGAGGACAGCACTGAATCTGCAGCTCAGGGAGAGGGACATGTCTGATCAGAGCACATGGGAGCAAATGAAGGGGGAGGAGGAGAAAGTGGAGCACATCCTGGCCCACCAGGCCTTGACAATATTCCCACTCACAGCAGCCAATCCAGAGATCACATGGCCGGCCCCACTATGAGACACAACATCCCTCACCATAGCCCTACAGGGGGGGACAACACTGGAGACACTGTGGGAATTGTGCCCGATTTGATCTCACCACACCGAGGCAAAAACACTAAGGGCGTGCAACAGAACAGCAAGCAGAACAGAGCCAGGAAGCCCCCAGGGAAAACCAAAAATGGACTTTGGAGCCAGGGCTTGGCACCCAAGACTCAACTGAAAAACACTCCTAAAGGCCAACAAACAGTCCCTGAACTACAAGATTTTCTTTGTTGTGTTTTGGTTTTTTTGGTCATTGACTTGGTGTTATTTTGTTGCTTGGTTTTGCTCTGTCTTGATTTTATGCATGTTATTATCTCTGCAGGTCTGTCTAAATATGATAGGTTGGACAAACTATCTGGAGAAAACAACGGGACTGACAGTTCTGGGGAGACATGGGAAAGGGGAAGGTGGGGGGAAAGGAAGTGGTGTTAACAAGCCCAGGTACAAGGGAACAAGTGATCCAAATCGGTGGTCAGGAGGGTGTAAGAGGCCTGGTAGGGCGTGACCAAGGGTAATGTAACCAAGAGGAATTACTGAAACCCTAATGAAGGCTGAACATGATAGTAGGACAAAAGGAAAGTAAAAGGAAATAGAGGAAAGAGCTAGGATGCAAAGGGCATTTATAGAGGTCTAAATAAATGCATGTACATATGTAAATATATTTATATATGATGGGGAAATAGTTCTATATGCAGATATGTATAAATTTAGTATTAAGGTAGCAGAAGGACATTGGGCCTCCACTCAAATACTCCCTCAATGCAAGAATACTTTGTTGTATTAAACTGGCATTCCATAATAATCATCTTCCCAACACAATCGCTGAAGACACAGCAGGTGTGGTGATAGCTGATGGTGCCCGGCTATCAAAAGATGTAGCGTCTGGGGTCTTAAAGGTGTGAAGGCAAACAAAACAGCCATCTCGCTCAGAAGCAACACATGGAAGCAGCACACCAACCTGTGTGATCATGAGGTGCAGAAGGGATCAGTTATCAGGCATCAAAGAACAAAAAATCATATTATTGTGAATGAGGGGGAGTGCGGAGTGGAGACCCAAAGCCCATATGTAGGCAATTGGACATCATGGGGAGGAGACGAGCCAGTCAGGGTGCAGTGTAGCAATAATGAAACATACGACTTTCCTCTAGTCCTAAATGCTTCCTGTCCACCATCATGATCCCAATTCAATCTGGCTAGAGGATGTACACTGGTACAGATAGGAACTGGAAACAGGGAATCCAGGGCGGATGATCCCTTCAGGACCACTGGTGAGTGTGGCGATACCGGGAGGGTGGAGGGAGAGTGGGGTGGAAAGGGGGAACAGATTACAAGGATCTACATGTAACCCCCTCCCTGGGGGACGGACAACAGAAAAGTAGGTGAAGGGAGATGTCGGACAGTACAAGAGATGACAAAATAAATTATCAAGGGTTCATGAGGGAGGGGGGAGCAGGGAGGGAGGGGGGAAAATGAGGAGCTGATGCCAGGGGCTTAAGTGGAGAGCAAATGTTTTGAGAATGACGAGGTCAATGAATGTACAAATGTGTTTTACACAATTGATGTATGTATGGATTGTGATAAGAGTTCTATGAGCCCCTAATAAAATGATTTTTTAAAATGTGCTCCCTCAAAGGCAGGCCCATTTAGATTAAAGAGAGTGGGGCAAACATAAACCTCGTTGCAGTACCTATGTCTGAATTCACACTCTGGTCGTCTTGGTGATGGCGTTCCCTTTCATCATCACCCGAAACCAGTTCCTCGTCACTCAGAACAGCTTCCTGGTTTTCAAACTGATGCCTCACTTGTTTGGAAGAAGAACCAAACAAGGACAGACCGCGGGTGTTTGTGTTCGCAGTCAAGCCTGCCGATGTGCTGCACGGGGAAAATAAGCTACCAGAACATCTGGGCTTCTCGCGGTGATGTTCGTGGGAAGCCTGCACCAATGTTGGCTGGTTTGTGTCGTCCTTTACAATATTCTGCATGGATCCAGAGCTTTCCCAGGTGTTCTTAGACAGACAACCCATGGCATCAGCGCCGCGCCTGGTAGACTGAAACGATGCACTGGTGACTTTCCCAAACAGCAAGTGCTGAAAGCTGGGAAGCTCTTCCTCCTCACTGGTTCCATTTTCTTCTAAGGACTCTAACTCTTCAGCACCTCTTGGGTGACCCCAAGACAAACCTAAATGGGATGTAGGCCCAGGGCTCCTTCTGAAATCTCTTCTCTGGTTATCTTTGCTAAAAACAGCAGATCTTTCCCTAATGTCACTTTGAACCAAGTGGCTGTTTTTATTTATTTCACTGTCATCTAACAGGTCTTCAGGTGTCTCAGAACAAATCTGAGGATCATTGTCCTCCATAGGCTGCTCTGGGTTATGTGACATTAGATAGCGAGAGAAATCTGGATGAACAGCTGGAACTAGTCCTCCATTGCCTTTTTGCCTTTTTACTTCAGAATGCTTACATTTCCTCATAGGAAGACTTTCCTTACAGACTTCAGGTTGCACAAGACCCAACCTGAGCACAGCATCCAATTTAGGTTCTCTGTTCCTAGCTAGCTCTGCTTGAATGTTTTCGCTGCTAGAACCTACTTCATTAAGACTGCTTGAGCTGGTTCCTTTGAAAGCATTTTCTCTCGGGGTATTTTGGCTAATTGTGCTCACTGTACTTGGAATGATACTCTCGTTTTCTGAGGCTCTTTCAAGTGATTCTGCATGATCCTCCAGTCTTTCCTTACATTCACTGTTAACAGATGACCTGATGGGAGCGAGTGGTGGGGCACGCTCCGAGGTCTGCACAATCCCATGTTCAACTGAGGTACTGGGGTCAGATTCACTGCCTCTGAATGGAGCTGCCTGACCAAGCCTGGACACTCCTTGAAGGTGACTTTTAGTATAATCACGTGGCTGTTGCTCTGTTGGACTACCTCCAGCACCGCCCACAGTTGCAGGAACTGCCTGCACAGGTCGAACTGCAGACTCTTTGTTCTCCTCAGTCCCTCTGTCCCCACACTCAAGAGCAATGTTTGGAGGGCGGGCACCGAGCGAGGCACACTCCTTTTCTGGATTTGAAGACAGAGCAAATGACTGACGCTTTGAGACTTTGAATGTATTCTGTAAGGACTGAATATCAAGTTCACTCTCTTCCATTTCTGTGCATGTCTCTTGAAGGTGGTTAACGTCGTGTGTCAAGAGATCCTCAGAGCCCTCCGTGTTATTTCTAGTGTCTTTGGAAAGACCCTGGACACTCCCGTTGGGGTTTTCAGTTGCTGCACACTGCCTTGCACATTCACCTGGTGCTGTTTGTGCCTCCCCTCGGTTGCCTGCTTCCATGATTGAGATGGTACCCTGAGGGCCATCATCAGCATCAGGTATCAGTGAAACACTGGTACTCTCAACAGATCTTGCGGTTTGCAGGCCCCTTGCTCTACCCAACACCTCACCTTTGGGGTCTCTGGTACCATTAGACACCTGCACTGTTCCCAGTTTCTCTTTCAGGTTTGCCCCTGGAAGGCTAGGACAGACAGATGCTTGAAGATTACCAGAAAACGAACAGGTAGTAATTAGGTCAGTTGTGTCTGTTAAATTTCGTTCTGGGAAAGTGTCAGGGGCGTGTTTTTTGCCCCTTTCTTCATTTGGTTTGTCATTCTTCTTGGCTCCGATGGCCATTTCTTGGTCTTTCGTGAGCTGTAAGTTCCGGCTCCGTCTGACTGGCTTTGGCTCAGATTCTTCTTTCTTTAGCTCTTCACTGCTAGGCCAGCTACTGATTTGCAGTTCTGTGTGCCTCGTCGGGCTTGGCTGTCTGTTGACTAGTTCCAGGGGGTGGATGTGCCTGCCAGAGGGCTTCCTCCTCAGCCTGTTCTTCTGTGCTTTTGCATTGAACACAGTCGGTTCCAGTTCCATACCGCTTTTCCTGCTGCTCAAAGGCTCAGCTACAGTTCGAAAGGCAGATTCTTTGGCCGATGATTCTGCCAGGTCAGCACTCTCCTTCTGAACACAATCCCCGCCTTTTGTTCCATGCCTGTGACCACCATCGGGAGTATGCTCCACTTGACCCTTCGGCCGTGTTTGGTCAGTTCCCTGGTTGATCTTTTCAACAACTGCCAAATCTGCTTTCTTGATAAAGTCCTCAGGGTGGAGGATGGATGATCTTCTGCGTTTTAATTTACTGGTAAGAAGGTGCTCTTGCGCTATCGGAGGTGCTACAGCAGCAGCAGCTCCTACCATTGGCTCTTCGGTTACATGGCTCGAGTTAAGGAGACTTGACTTCCTCCGATACGTTTTCCCAAATATTTTGTCTTCGATGTTACTTTCTACTGGTTTGGAAAGGACTCTTTCACTTTTAGGCAGTAAAGGAACATGAGGATCACTGACCATCAAGTCTGTTTTCTCTGGTGAACTAGAAGATTCGCGTGCTTCATCTGGAACTTCGAAGGCCCCAGCGACGTCTGCATCTGATTCAGGCCGCTCATCATGCGAGTCACCCAGGCCATCGCTTTTGGAAAACCACTCATTGACTTTCCAAATGCTACTCTTCCGTGTTTTCCAAGGCACATCGTGGCTCTTTCTAGGACTTCCATGGCACGGAGGTTTCTGCTTAGGCACTCCTTTTCTCCCATGCACGGGGTCAGCATTCTTATCTACCTTTTTCTCTGTGCTAGGAGTCGGCTTGTCATTACATGTCTCCTTACTTTCAGCCCATCTGTTATGTTGGCTCCTTGCTAAGCCGGGCTGTTTGCTTTCATTACAGAATCCAGCCTTTTCTACATTCAGTCTGTCTTTAGTGAGTAATAAACTGTAGTTCTCACGCTGTAATGAGTTGGCAAGCGTATTTGTTCCACATGGCTCCACATGTGGGTTTGAAACAGGAATATCCTGACACTTTTCTGGATGCTTCTCAGTTGCTTGCTTCTTATGGGTGTTCAAGTCTTTGTTCCTGGATGGGCGGTAGTCCACGTTTGGTAAGTCTTCAGAAAACTCACAAGCAGCTGAAAATGTACAAAAATAACAAGATACTTAAAAACTGGATTATTGCGGGAAAATAAATACTTAATACAACTTGGGAGTGGCTGGTGATTTTCAGAGACACTAACCTCATAAACTACCAAATACACTGAAGCTGCAGTCTATAACCGTTCATTTAATTCCTACTTAGCCAGATTCTCTTCATTTCCACTTAGGATCATTAAGATTTTCGTTTCAGAATACACACTACTCATAAACCGCAGCTCATGACCTCTCAGAATGATTTAAAAGCAGACTGCCTGTGCACCAGGCACTGGTGGCTTGATCTTCAGACTCCTATTCCCTTACACTTTCCCAGGAAAGGGCTACAATCAGCTACACAGGGTACGACTATAGTTTAGTACCAACGAAATCTACCAGCCTATGCCTTGACTACTGTAAAAGAACACTATTCAAACCCTGCGAAGGGATGTGAATTCTAAACGTCCCCAAATGACCTTCAGAATAATCTAAGTTCAGATTGCATTTACTGTTCTCTCTTCAGTTCCTGTTAGGAGTTGTGAAAACTTGCCATTACCCTTTTTTGTAGGATCCAAACGGGCTTCCGGTCTGGCTCCTTGAGGAGTGATTTCTATCAAGTCTGGGTCTACCACACTACAGAGAAAAGAGAGCAGCTCGGTGAGAAAAGACTAGACGTCATGTTGCAGAATTATCAAAAGGGCAAGATGAAATATTTTTGCCATTCCAAAAAGGGCTGAAGTAAAGTGGTCAATCTGATTCATTCTTTAAAATCTGTTCCCGCCTTCAATAACTTCTAATGGAAAGGAAATGGTCAAAGACGGGGGCCTCAGTCACAAATACCAGAGCAGCAATGCACAACAGTGCACATGAAGACCAAAACTTCAAGGACTGCCGAGACGGTTGAAAAGAATTAGCTTCGAGTGTATGTTAAAAGCTTAAAATAATAAAAAGGCACAGCTTAATGACAAGGCAGTACCCACGATACATAAATGGAATGCCTGAGCCTTGTGAGAATGCGATTAAACCATGCAGACATCCCAATAAAATACTAAGACCACCTTGTTGAATCCCTCCCCCCCCACTGCTTATTGAATTTCTAGGCTTTTTAAGCTAAACACACACACACACACACACACACACACACACACACACACACAC